GACCTTAACGTAAAAACGTAAACTTTTCGGGTCAAAGTGCAAATACACAAAAGTATCAAAACTTTATGTAATTGCATAAAAGCCCCAAAAATACCCTATTTTTATTAGGGTGGCCGGTTTTTAGGGATAAAAAATGAGTGGTGGGTGTTTTGATTTATTAGTTTTGTCAAAAAACAATCAAGTAGTGCTTTCACCTTTCATAAAATTAATATATGTTTTGATGATTGATGTTTCCATCATCATTTATACAAATATTTAACACTTTAAATACTTTCATAAAATTAATATATGTTTTGATGATTGATGTTTCCATCATCATTTATTCAAATATTTAACACTTTAAATACTTTCATAATAAAATTAATATATGTTTTGATGATTGATGTTTCCATCATCATTTATTCAAATATTTAACACTTTAAATACATGATAAATCATTTGAAAAACATATAACATAAACTTTATGAAATATTCAAAACTTTGAATCAAAACACAAAACCTTTTTTGTTCTTGGCAAGAACATCAAGAACAATGAAGAACATCCATGAAAAACCCATAAGAGCTTTTCCATGAATTTTTCAAGCCATAAAACTCAAATTTTCATTATCATTCAAAATGAGGCTAAACCAATCCTAGGGTACTTAGGGGTTCCAAAAGTCACCTTAAAACCATTTTAACAAGTCAAACAATGAACCCAAAAAATCCACCCTTTGGATTTGGCCGAAAATTCCCAAAATCATGGCACCAAATTTTAGCTCCAATATTCATGCTCATATGAACTACATCTACAACATTTGAGATGGCAAATTTTCAAACAAAATTTACATTCAAAGAAGCAAGAATAAAGCTTGTAACAATTACAACTTTTAAATCACAAACTTATGAACTACAAAACCCAAAAGGATTCACCAACTACTAGACCTAGGCTCTGATACCACTTGAAGGATTTATTTTGAAAAACATGTTCATTTGAAGCAACATCATATAGCATGCAATTAACAAATTAAAAGGCGGAATCATGCTTGCATGCATTCAAAAACAAAACATTACCCATGAAATTCAAAGCCTAGTAGATTGGTGAACCAATAATCAACTCAAAACAAAGTGAGTTGAAATTAATACCTTTGTAGATTCCTCTTTGCATAAGCAAAGGCTAATCACCCAAAGAGATAGGGCCTTCATTCCTTGCTTCTTAGATCCATGGATTTGGATGGAAGAATAGGTTCTCCAAGTTCCCAAAATTGAGAACCTCTAAGTCTCTTCACCAAGGTTTGATTGTAGAAGAAATGAGTGACCTTGGAGTAGTAGGATTGCTAGATGTACCCTCCAAGGTGTTGGCCTCTTTAGAGAGAAAATGGAGAGACAATTCTCACCCAATTTTCCCCAAAATAAACCCTTAATTACATTAATGAATATTTGGCTATAAAGTCATTTATATAGTCACTTCTTTAAGTGACCTAAACAAAACCAAAACCCTAATTCATCACCATATGGCCGGCCACCTAAGGGAATTTTGGGCTTTTGGGCTTTAATGAATCTTTATTCATTAAATTGTCATACAACTTAAGTTAATGGGCTTGACGTTCGAAGCCCATTGGGCCTTAAGGTCCAAAACTATCCCGAGGTCTTTAACGAACTTATTCGTTCGATTGTTTGATTAATTAACATATTAATTAATCCTTGCCATAAATTAAATGATTAAACCATTTTAATCATTCTTACTCATTTCCGTTTAATCTTCCAATCTCTACCTTTTTACGGTGTGTGCGATCCATTAGGTTCCTTTTAGCGAGGCAGTGGGCGATTAAAACCATTTTTACATCGATTGTGAATTGAAACTTATTTTCAATTCTCCCTTTAGTGGTTTATACACGTTTAGGGCTTCCACAAACCATGAGTTGACACCTAGCAGCATGTCATGGTTACCCAAGCTAATCAGAAGAGGTTAGAGAACCTATTCAGTTCGGGATTACAAATGCAATACGGTCCTTCTCTAATCTAATACTCTTGACCACATTGTTTGGTTATGATAGTTTATTTATTCATGTCTACTATCCAATGTGATTCGTTTGCTTATATGATTTCCTTGAATGTGATTTGGAACGCATTCCCCAATCTCATTCATACTCTGGCCAGAGATTCCAAATCATATCATAGAGTATTCTCCCTCAAACTGTTTGAAGGTTAGAGATCCCTTGTTGCGCATTCACTTGTCTCCATAGCTAAGTGGCTTAACCCCAACGATGCCGTGGACACCCCTAGGGGGTGACTTTAGACATAATCAAAGATTAAGGACTTAACCACAAGACAACTGTGATGCCTCAGGTCAAAGGACTACTTTGCATTATCCCAACCATGAGTTCTCATGTGACATGGAATATGAGAACTCTTCGTTGATCACGTTCAGTGAACTCATTTCTCTATTGAGCACCTACGTACTTGTCTTGATGTCACACACACCAATGACTCGAGACTAGTCACTCTCACTCTCCCTGAGAGAAGACACAGTACGTACTGATCTTAACGGACTGTCAATGCCCAATTGGTAATCCTATGATCAGGAACATTTAGGATGTGTCTACGAAAGAATGGTCTCATTAATCTAACTTCATTAGATTGCATTCTCCCAATCACATATTCCTTGGACTTTATCGTTTAAGCATATAACATTTATATGAGACGGCTCAAACAATAATCTTTGCCCTTTATATATTAAACTAGATTAGTTTAACATTTGAAATGTCCGTAAAGTATCATCATATGATTGGTTTTAGGGCACATTTCCAACATTAAGCTTACGGGAGATTTTCTTTCTGTTTTGTTTTTTATGGGATCGAAGTGTCAGCCGAGTGGGACCCACAACCCACTAGTTGCTCTTACTCTCATGTTTCCCTCACTCCCGTGTTTCCCTCTCTCAGGACTAACTTTCATTTATTTATTTTTTCAAATCTCCCCTCACCTCACATCACCACTCACAGATTGCCAACTCATCCTTCTTTCCCTCTAACCCTCTTAGCTCTCTCCTCCTTTCTCCCTCATTCTCTATCTTGCAGAGACCATCAAAACGCAACCACTCGCCCACTCCGGTGAAACCCTTTATCACAAAATCACCATCGCCGATAGTCATGACATTCCCCCTTTCTTTCATCACCTCTCCTTATCTCGTCTCTCTCTACCTCAGCTGGCATGGAGATGCAACATTGCATCACTATCTAATGAACCCAACTTTGGCGAGTTTTCGATTTTTCAACCAAGGGAAAGCCTTGGGAGCCCTCAACCTCAAATCTTATTGTATTTGAACTCCTGATAAGGCCTTTAACCTTCAAAATATGATTTGGTAGTGTTTAGGTGCGAGACATCTCGGGGGAAATTTTCCTAGAAATTTTGGAAGCTTGAACTGTGGTCATTGATGAGTCAATTTCATATTATATATTTTACCCTATTTTTAGTATGTTTTGGTAATTATTTTGATAGAATTTTGATACTTTGATTTATATTTTCAATATAGGACATCCGACTTTCTCTGGAGCAAAAAATGACCAAACGGACCAATTTTGGAGTGATTCAAATTGGAGGACATTCGTAAGTGAGTTAGCATAATCGTATCAAAATATCAGATTTTTTCACCAAGCAGTTATTTTCTGGTGATAAAATAAAGGAGTGATGCACGGGGTTGGAATAGTGACGTTTTGGGCTTGAATTGCGTTTTTGAAGCCCAAGATGAGTCATGCATGTCTAGATTTGATCTGAATACCACAGATGGATTGCATGTTTGATATACGCTCTATGTTGGGGGTCTAAGTAGGCAATGGCAAAGCCAGAAATTGACGGAGGGGGGGGGGGGCGAAGTTAAAAGAGTGCAAGGTTCAAAATAATAGCAACAACCAAATCATTTTATATAGTAATGTCTTCCATAATTTATCAATATAAACAAATTACAATTGTTGCCAATGATTTCATATCATGAAAATGTTGCATAATAGGCTCGTTATCAATTAAAGCAAATACATATCTCTCAATGTAGACAAGCATGCTATCACTTAACCATTGATCTCCCATTTTGTTACGCAATGGTGTTTTCACACTCTTCATAGCGGAAAAAGCCCTCTCCACCAAAGCGGTTGCAACTGGTAACACCAAAGCCAATGTAAGAAGCTTATACACTAATATGTAGCTTGCACACCTCCCGGTCTTCACCAACTCCTTTGCAAGATCACCAATTCCTCTCGATGATGAAAACTCATTATGCATCTTTATATCATGAATGTAATTGTCAAGTTGAATTGGAAGATTCATGAGGTCCATACGATCAAAATTTTGAGGATAAAGTTAACAATTTTTGCTTTGTCAAAAGATTCAAAATTATTCACCGGACTCAAACATGCCATACAAAGAAGCAACTCGGTATTTACCTCATTGAAGCGATCATTCAATTCCTTTAATTGTGTATCAAGGACTTAAAAATAGAGGTCAACACAATAATAATGGACGTTTGTGAGTCTTGGAGCTTTACGCCTTGATTTTCTGGGTACAAAATGCAAATCCTCCATGTTAGGAACGACAATATCATGCTCTTGACAAAACTTTTGTACATCATCAAGCAAGTCCCCGAAGTCATCATCTCTCAAGGATTGTAGTATTTACTTGCATACTTCCACTAATGCCATTGCATTCACAATATCTTGATTTTTCTTTTGCAATGCTTGTGATAACTCATTTGTAACTCCCAATATGAGTCTCATAAAAAAAAGGTGTAACACAAAATCAAAAGTGTGTATGTTATGGAATAACTGACTTGTTTCATCGAAATTGTCTTGATTTGTATCATCTTTAATCCATTCAAGCACCTCCACCACGGCTTTAAACATGACAATAATACTAACTATAGTAACATAATGTGATTTTCAACGTGTATCACAAGGACGCATGAGACTACTCTCTTGATTTAACCCTCTACCCATTCCAAGATCACCAATATCAAGAGCTTTCTTAATTTGTTCTTATTGTTTCTCTCTAAATGCATCACGACGCTTACATGATGATCCAATAGTATTGACCAAAATACTAGCATTGTTGAAGAAAATGGTGACACCCTCAATTCCCTTTGTAACAGCTACAAGAGCTAGTTGAAGTTGGTGTGCAAAACAATGAACATAAAATGCTTGAGGATACTTGTTCAAAATCTTTGTTTTAAGGCCATTTAGCTCATGTTTCATATTACTAGCTTTATCATAGCCCTGTCCTTGTAACTTAGACATACTCAAATGTGTTGTAGCAAAGAATCTCTCAATAGCCTCTTCAAGCGAGCTACTAGTTGTAGAGGAGACATGTTGCACACCCAAAAACGTTTCAATTGCTTCTCCTTTTTTGTTCACATAACGCAATACCACCGCTATTTGCTGTTTAGTTGAAGAATCACGTGATCCATCAACCAAAAGAGAAAAAAATTCACCTTCCATATCTTTAGTGATTGCATTTATAGTTTCAATGGCACAAGCACAGACAAGATCTTTTTGAATATCGGAAGAAGTATACTTAAGATTCTTGGGAGCATTCTCAAACACAAACTTCCTAACTGGCTTATTATGCTTGGAAAGAAATTGGTTAAGCTCCAAATAATTACCTCTATTGCTTGATTTCAACGATTCTTCATGACCACGAAAAGGCAAACCTTTTCCCAACAACCATCTTGTGCACTCAAGTGAGGCACTCAAGAAAGTATGATAATTATTGCGAGCTTCATTGGTTTGCTTAATCACAAATGTTTCAATGTGTTGTTTTTGTGTCATCAAATCTCTAGCTTGTCGTACAACTTTATTATGAAGACTTCCAACACCTCCCTCATGGGCTCGAAGATTTTTGGGTCCTTTCCTCCAATTTGTAAACCCTTTCTCAGTGAAGACATCACTTCTAGTGCCACCCATTTGATCGAAATCACATTTGAAAAGATAGCAATAACAACAAAATGCAGCATCTTTTGATATACTATACTCCAACCACTTAAACCTATCAAACCAACCGGTGATAAAACATCTTTTGTTGATAACTTTTCTTGGCATAATGTGGTCTCTAGGTTGACAAGGATCATTTTGGAGATAGTGTCTACGAATTGCTTCACAATAATTAGGTGGATAATCAAGCATTCAATGTCTATATCCAGGGTCTGCATGAAGATTAGCCAATATTTCATCCAACTCAGTGGGCTCACTTTGTTGTGAACTACTTGGAATATTCGAAGGAGGACTTCTTAGAATATTTGAAAGAGGAAGAGGAGGACTACTTGGAATATTTGAAGGAGAATGACTACCCGAAATGTTTGAAGGAGGATTTAAGCATTGTTTCTTATAATATCGTTCCATTACGTAACTGTAAAATGGAAAGAAAAAAAATTCTTAGACTCTTAATCCTAGAGTAGACTATACTAATATTCATAATAACCCAACCAACAATTCAATTAATCAATACCAATAAGCATATAAATTATTCAATAAATAAAAAATTCATTCAACTAATCATATGAATACAACTAATCAAAAATTCAAATTTTAATTTTCACCCTAAAAAATAATTTCATAATTTCATATCAATCAATAATCATAGAATCATATCAATAATCAATAACCAATAACCATATTATGCATTACCATATGATTCTATACTAATTAAACAAAATTTGTATTAAATAATTAATTAGGGTTAGAGATTACAAATTTAAGAATTAAAAAATTTACCTTTGAAATTGAAGGCTAGAAGTCGGCTTAGCGGTTGGAGTGGCTGGTGTTGGTAGCAAAAAACCAACAGAAATCAGCCAATAGGGAATTATTTTCCATTCCGTTGGGGTTGGGCATTGGTTGCAGGCTTAGGCTGTTGGGATTTTGGGAGCAGCTTTGCTCTCTCTCTATCTCTGATTGGTGAAGGGAGAAATTTGGAATGGTAAAGCACGACACGCGAGCTAACTGAGTGAAGGAACCGGGGACATACCACGCGCTCCCCCCAATACATATAAATTTGTTTTTGTTTTTTTCAAACATTGAAACAGATATGAGACATGGAAGGGCCTGACTTGAAATTTTTTTAATTTTTTTTTACCAGGACCAAGATGACGTCGTTTTGGCCTGGATTTAAAGAAAAAAAAGTACCCAGTTTGTTGCTGCACGCAGCAGAACCAGCTCATCGGAGCCAAAACAGACATGGAGAGGTTGGGTTTTTCGGTGAGGGGAAGGGCGAAACCTCGGCTTCAGTTGTGTTTTCCAGAGAGGGGAGGGGTCACCACTCCTCGTCCTTATGTGGCTTCGCCACTGTAAGTAGGCATATATTAGGAAAACCTAACCTTCAAAATATGCATGTATATATTATAAGTAATTGAGAGAACTATATAGGATTGTTAAGGTGATGGCGGATCCCTAGTGCTTTTTTAATTTGATTTCTCCAATACTGTTTCCTTTTTCTTCATCTTTAATATTGCAGCTTAGTTTACTTTTATCAATTAAATTCGTTTTTAATTTAAGTAGGTTACAAAATCAATCATCTCAACTTTCTGCTTTACAACAATTAATTGGAATTTGATTTGCTTTGATTTATTTAACAATCCCTGTGGAGAACGACCTTGCGAGATCCGTTTACACTACAATAACCATGTCATTCTTGCAAGTATTATAGGAGTTTTTAGCCCGTTTTTGTGTATTGTAAAATCCCTATCAGTCATTAGGCCACTTTCAAAGGATTTTTTCGACCAACTCCATCCTTATCTCGGCCTCACTTTGGTATAGATCTATTCCCTGCATTAACTAGTTCACTTAGGTCTTTGAATCATCAATTTTGGTTGAGATTTGAGCTCGTTTAGAGCTCTGGAAGTTGGACCAAAAACCTGTAAAATTGCAAGAACTTGTTAGGAAGGTGAGTACAGTTGTACTTGTAGATGCGTAGGCGCGAGTGGGGGAGTCAACATGGTGGCGTGTCCGGCATGTGGTTGCCAATACAACCACCTTGTGGCGGTGCATGGAGGAACCTAAGGTCCTTCATTAGGTTTCTCGACGTGCCGAACCCGGATCCGCCATCCGTTATTCGAAATTCGACAATTTTGAAATAGTTCCTTTATTAGCCGTACTTTGTACAAAAAACGCGTTTATACGTTAGTACGTTATATATTTACATAAATGATTTTGTTTCTAGGGGAAACACATTGCAAGGACTCTCGATGCTACAAGGCAGGTTTGACTCGACGACATGATTTTTGAGTGGGCATTTCTTTGATATATACATATATATATATATATATATATATATATATATATATATATATTTAGTTTCCATATATACACCTAATCATGAACTTTCTTTATGACTGCCATAATTAAATTAACGTTTATGGTAAATGACGTAATGATGAGAACTAGTAAGTCGTTATAAACTGTACGGGATGCTTTAGCTAAATTTCAGATTATGAATAATGTGATGATGTCTAGAATTATCGAATCACTATGGCATGACTATATTTATGTTATCTGCTCATCGTTTGCTGCACCAGTGTTAGTACTCGCCTAGGCCAGGGCCAGTTTTTCACGTGAATGTGCACATCACACCATAAGCTCATATGTGCTGCGTATAACACCAGTCTTCATGTGATTGTAGTACTAGAGCTATATATTGTTACACCCAGTCTTGTTCGTGCCAAAATACCCCTGCATGAACTAGTGTGTCAGCATGTGTCGATGAGCACTCGATATGCTATGTTTATTTATGTGAGAATATGTGTTTATAGATGTCATGCTTCTATTTGGTAAAATTTTGTGAAGTATTGCATTCTTGAGATACTGCTAGATCTGGTAAGTATTTTCATACTGTACTTAGTATCTATATTTTGGAAACTATACTTGTTTTACAGCGACGAGTTATTATGTTTTCGAAAAGGTTTTTACAAATCTTTGTTTTTAGGCCCACTCATCCTTGTTTTTCACCTTTCCAGGTATTAGTAGTTGAGCTTTCGTGTCGACGAGAATTCTTGAAAAATCTTAGTAGATGGCTACCTTTGATGGTATAATTCTTATCTTACCTTACTGTACTTTACTTATGCTTTGACATCACGTGTGAAATGGGTTCATTCCTGCTCACAAGCGCACTCTTAAAATTAGGCACTTTTAGGTTTAAATTTACTCACATATTCCAATACACTACACTTTATGGCTTTGTCACCTTCCAGGTGTTGGCCAGCATAACTTAATTCAGAGTCTAAGTGGACGTTACGGGTCGGGGTGTGTCAGTTTGATATCATAGCATAAGTTTGGGCAGTATTGCATTCATCACCCGCGTGATGTAAGCATTCTCGGTTCCTAAACCTAATTGTCAAATCTTGCCACCTCGTCGAATACGAAAAACATGTTGGGTTTTCTTGAGTTTTGCGCGGATTAGGCTACTTATTGACATTCTAGAAAAATTGTTTTGGCGACCGCCCTTAGACTTAAACAAAGAAACTTGCTGCCAAGGAAAAATTCCAATTTGGAATGAATTGATGGCCTTGATGCAGGGCTAATGTAGTTTTATACCACCTATTAGAATTCCTACGAAGTTTTAGTTTTTGTCAAAATTTCTAGAAATGTCCCGACTGAGAATGTGGTGCTAAAGGGGTAGCACTCGAAGGAATAACATATAGGGGACAATCACTTTTGGTCCTTGATAGCACTAATTTCCTCAAACGCACTAGTTAAAATTATGGATCTTCAGGAGGAAGATCGAATCTTTTTAGACATGTTCTGAAGTAAGTTATTAGCAATTTCTTTTTTCTGGCCTTAGGACATTCCCACCAACACTAGTCTCAAATTTCCTTTCGATGTTGTACTCGTCATTTCGATGAGTATAGGCCGATGAGTATGAGTTTTATACCTATAGTCAGTAGAAATCCTAGAAGTAGTAAGTATTTTCCCTAAAATTAATGAAACGACTTCCTAAGACCAATTCTTTACCAATCATTCGAAACCATCCACCCGAGCAGGCTTAATCAGCCTACGGTGGCGCTACTAATTAACGATATTGTCCAATATCCAGAAGCTGTCAACTAGTATTCAAGCGGTATGATTTCTGATACCGAACATAGGTACTAGTATCTTAGAGTGATACCTTTATGCCAGAACGCCGATTCACAGTTTCAGGGTAACAAACAATATTAAAAACATCAAAAGTATCATATGTGCATTAATTAGTAGCGCGATAGATAGACTGATTAACAGTGATTACCGGAGCAAAAGAAATTTAAATCGTGGAAACTTAGAAACAAGCCTTTTAGAAGGACAATAAACTCGCAGTTGTTTTAACCATATTTTCCCACTTAGGTAACTAAAACCACTTTGATCAGCCATCTTTCTAATCACTTCCACAAGCAAATATTAGTTTGAAGCACAAATTGAATATTAAGAAAGTTGTGAAGACCTATTACGATATGGCGTAGTGAAAGGAAGTAGTATGGTATGTTTCGAGGACATATACTTTTGGCCACATTCCTAAAAAAAGTTTAACTGGGATATCACCAAATGGTGAAGTGAAGTACACTATGGACTCACTTCCTCGTAGTACACCAATTTTCCTTGTGTTTTTCGAACAACCCCTACATCATTGAGAGAACATAGTTACGAAAGCTTATTGATTAGGAATTTATTCAACCAAACACCTTAAGTAAGGAACCTCGAACCTATTTGCGAAGGTGAAAGACCGAACCTTAGGGTCGTACCTAGAATTTGGCAACCCAATCGGGGTGACATTTAAAAATGTCACTTATGTTTCCCAACAGTTAGAACCGTATGAAATGAACCACCTTACTCATGACTTAGAGTCAACAATTACCATCTTGACTTGAAAATTGGATGACATTTCTCTGTGGAGAAACATGTCCAGAACCTCTACCAACCTTAGATTTCTCAAATACATCTTCATT